TCTGACCGCCACCAAAGTGCTTCTAGAAGTGCATTGTAAAACCTCACGCCCAATCCAAAGCAAACCCTTGAGAGTTAATGGCGTAGGAGCCGATACTGAAACACCGATTTTGGCGAGATTTAGAATCCCACTACAATGAATTCAATTGCCAGGTTCACTACTTAAGTTGGTAAGACCTAAATACAGAGATAAATTGAAAGAATCCACTCCCAAAAAACTCACTCAACAGAGGAGAAATATAAATTGAAATTTTGGATTAAAACTTATGCATACAACGAAGGGAACATAGCTATTTATAGGCAAAATCTAACATAAGGCAATAAATGAAAAGTGAAAATGCAGTTGGGAGTTAGCCATTTTTGTGGAATTTAGTGGCCACTTTTGACAAAATTGCACCGGCCTATTTGTAGTCTGCAGAGTGTAGTTTGAAATTTGCTAACTTGCAATCATGGTGCATTGTCGTGGTGCTTTCATGGTGCTTTCCCCCGGTGCATTCTCCCCTGGTTGGTGAAAACTTGTCCTCGAGTTTGAGTTCAATGCTCATGATCCTCATAGTAAGGAGATAGGTCAACTACATTGAAAGTAGCAGAGACTCCGTAGTCACCTAGAAGTTTGATCTTGTAGGCATTATCATTGATTTTCTCCATTATCTGAAAAGGACCATCTGCTCTAGGGGAGAGTTTGATGTTAGGTTGATTAGAAAACCTTTCCTTTCGAAGGTGTATCCAAACCCAATCTCCTTCTTTATACACAACCTTTTTTCGGTGCTTGTCATGATGAGCCTTATACCTAATGGTTTAACGTTGTAGCTTCTCACGAACTTCTTCATGAAGTTTCTTGATCTCCTTGGCTCGTTGTTCAGCATCTGCACTAAATTGTCGGGATGTGGGCAATGGAGCAAGATCTAAAGGATTGAGAGGACGCACTCCCTATACTACTTCAAATGGGCATTTTCTCGTAGCTTGATTCGAAGAGTTGTTGTAGGCAAACTTAGCTTGGGCAAGCACAAGATCCCATTGTCGCAAATTTTTTCCCACAAAACTTCGTAGTAGATTCTCCAAAATCTTATTGATAGCTTCAGTTTGCCTATCGGTTTGGGGATGGCTAGCATAACTAAACTGGAGTTGAGTGCCCATCTTTCTCCATAAAGTCCTCCAAAAATGACTCATGAACTTCACATCTCTATCTGAAGTGTGGTCTTTGGAACTCCATGTAGACGCACAATCTCTCTAAAATATAGCTCAGCAATGAGAGAAGCATCATTAGTTTTCTGACAAGCAATAAAGAGCCATTTTAGAAAATCTGTCAACCACGACCATGATAGAATCTTTGCTTCGTTGAGTTCGTGGTAGACTAAGGACAAAATCCATACTAACATCTTCCCAAGGTGATGTTGGGATAGGCAATGGCAGATACAATCCTGTGTTCTGATTGATTGTCTTGGCTTGGTGACAAACTTTGCATCTTTGAATGTGACGAATGACATTCTGCTCCAACTTTGGCTAGTAAAAACTTTTTTTAACAAGAGCTAAAGTCTTGTCTCTCTCAAAATGACCAGCTAATCCACCATTATGTGCTTCCAAGATAATTGAATCTCGGAGTGAGCAACGTGGAACACATAGTTGGTTACCCTTGAAGAAGTAATCTTACTGGTGATGATATTGCTGAAAGGCTTGATTAGAAGTGGCTTGTCAAATGTTGCTAAAATCAGGATCATCCTCATACAACTCCTTGATCACTTCAAATCTAACGACTTTCATCTGTAAGGAAGTAAGCAAGGCATGTCGGCGACTCAGAGCATCAACTACACAATTCTGGACTCCAGATTTATATTTGAGGAGGAAAGGATAAGCTTGTAGAAATTCACTCCAAGCAGCATGTCGACGACTAATCTTCTGTTGAGAATTCAAGTGCTTCAATGCCTCATGGTCAAAGTGCAAGATGAATTCTTTTGAAAGAAGATAATGACTTCAATGCTCCAAGGCTCAAACAATTGCATAGAATTCTTTGTCATAGGTGGAATATCTGAGCTTTGTGTCATTCAACTTTTCACTAAAGAAGGCAATGGGTCGACTTTCTTGACTTAACACTGCACCAATTCCAACATTAGAAGCATCACAATCTACTTCAAACATCAGGTCAAAGTTGGGAAGTGCAAGTACAAAGGTTTCAGTGAGCTTCCTCTTTAATTCTTCAAAACTCTGTTAGGCTTTGCTACTCCATGAAAATTTTTCACCCTTAAGGCTATCAGTGATTGGGGCAACAATAGAACTAAAATTCTTGATAAATCTCCGGTAAAAGATGCCAGGCCATGGAAGCTTCGAACATCATGCATCGATGTTGGTGTAGGCCAGTTGACAATAGCATCAATCTTACTGGGGTCCATCTTGATACCTTGAGCAATGATGATGTATCCAAGAAATGTCACACTTGTAGTGAGGAATGAACATTTATTGAGATTAGCATAAAGTTTTTGCTCTCTAAGGACTTCAAAAACTTGCCGGAGATGGTCTAGGTGCTCTTGTTCATTCTTGCTATATATCAGGATATCATCAAAGTAAACCACAACAAATTTCCCAATGAAGAGTCGAAATACCTGGTTCATAAGGTGCATGAAAGTGCTGGGAGCATTAGACAATCCGAATGGCATGACCGTCCACTCGTAGAAACCATCTCTAGTTTTGAATGCTGTCTTCCATTCATCACCGGGATGCATTCGAATCTGGTGATATCCACTTCTCAAATCAATCTTTGAGAAGACAGTAGCTCCATGCAGTTGATCAAGCATATCATCAAGGCATGGAATTGGGAAGCGGTACTTGATAGTGATTTTGTTGATTGCTCGACTATCTACACACATTCTCCAAGTTCCGTCTTTCTTTGGGACGAGTAGCACAAGCACGGCACATGGGCTAACACTTTTCTTGACAAGTCCTTTCTCCATCAGTTCTTTGACTTGTTGTTGAAGTTCCGCATACTCTTGAGGGTTCATTCAATAAGCAGGCTTGTTTGGGATGACAGATCTTGGGATGAAATCAATGGCATGCTGAATGTCTCTCATTGGTGGTAATCCAGGAGGGATCTCGTCAGGAACAACATCAGAAAATTCTTTAAGGAGAGATCGAATTTCTTCTGGAAAAGGGCAAGTGACATCATTTACTTTGGATAATAGTAGGAGACATGCTATTCCCGACTCTTGGTGCAACTTCTGAAAGGTTGATTTGGAGATTAAAGCCTTGTCCTCATCCTTCTTTTCAAGTGTTTCTTCAGGCTTCAGGGGAGTGAACTTGACCTTCACATCATCTTTCACAAACGAGTAGGTGTTGGCATGGCCGTCATGGATAGCTTTTCGGTCAAATTGCCAAGGGCGACCAAGTAACAAGTGACAAGCATCCATAAGAATAACATCACACCATACTTCGTCTTGGTACCTGTTACCAATAGAAAAAGAAACAGGGCAACGTTTGGTTACTTTTACCTCGTTTCCCTTTCGTAGCCATTGTAACTTATATGGATGGGGATGATCTTTGACAAGCAGACCTAGCTTCTCAACCATATAATTGGACACAACATTCTCACAACTTCCACTATCAATGATGACATTGCAGACTTTCCCTCGAGAAGTGCATCTGGTGTGAAAGATGTTATGTCGAAGCCAATCTTCATCTTTGGTTATGGTAGCATGTAGACTACGACGCACAAC